TCTTAGTGTGCAAGACCAAACATTTGACAAACCCGAATGATTAAGACTAAGTTGTCAATATTTGTAATAATTAGTTTTCAGAGCAATAATTGTTGTGAGAGACCTACGAGTATTAAGTTATTAACCCATGGTAATGGATTCGGCATAAACAAAAAAGTTAGAACAGAGTATCTAGTTCAAGTTTGTTCGATTTAGTCCGATTTTTATTTGGTTTTACTTGAGACCATGTTTGATTAGTTCAATTGGTTTTGGCTCGATTTAGGTTTTTTTGGGTGTTTTTACTAAAACAAAATCATTTGATTTAAAATGGTATGATGGTTGGGAGGTCAAACATATTACATAAAAATGATAAATATTAGAACAAATTAAATATAAAAGAGAAGAAATAAATATGTCTTGAATTTGCAGGAGAGATAATACACTTTTCCAAATTTTGGGAATAAAAGTTTATGTCTTCTTAATGTACATTTTTTGTGACTAGTTTGAAAAAAGTTCATGAATATTTGTGTTCTATGTCATATAGCTGAGATGAGTATTTATTTGTTATATCAATATAAAAAATGTAAGTTACATAAAAATAGAAGTTACTAGTAATAACAGGTAAATATATATTACAATTACGCAACAAATTGTAAAATATACGGAGTATATAAAAGACATAATAAATGAATAAATCAATAAAGGCATATAACTACATTATTTTAATTTAGGCCATGAATGTGTGAATGCATTTCTAAACTATACTAAACATAACACAAAATTATATTTCTAGCACAAGAAAATCAAAGACTATCGATGATATTGCGATTAATGTTTAAGGAATAACAAATATAATTTCATATTTGTTCCGTTTATTTGGTTCAACTCGATTTTAAAGAGTAAAAAACAGAAACCGAATCAAACAACTATGGTTCGGTTTTTTACATTCGGTTTTTATTTTTTAGCAGTTCAGTTTAATTTAATTAATTAAGATCCATTTTATTTGGGAAAACTATCAAATAAGCCCCGTACTATGCCGAAAAAATCGATTAGGCCATCATACTTTACAAACACTCAATTAAGTCCTCGAACTATTAAAAAACGTTCAATTAAGCCCTTTCGGTCGGTAAGTAACCGGTTTCCCGGTTAAACGGCGGCGACGGCGACGGCGACGATGTGCTCGAACCCCAACAATGGCATACGCAGCTGCCGGGAAACGGGTTACATTAACCAGGAAACCGGTTACTTACCGACCGAAAGGGCTTAATTGAACGTTTTTTTAATAGTTCGAGAACTTAATTGAGTAGTGTTTGTAAAGTACGAGAGCCTAATCGACTTTTTTGGTATAGTGCCGAGGCTTATTTGATAACTTTCCCATTTTATTTTGATTTGGTTTTTTATTTTTTATTTTTCCGACCCAGCACTATTATTAATAATCACAATTGAGTGGGAGATTATGTATTACGCTTCTAATTGAGAGATGATTTGAATTACCACTATAACGAACTAGGATCGGTCGTTGGTGATTCTTAGTCATGTTTTATGACTTTATCTGTACATAATTTTTGTTGCGAGCTCAATTATTTAATGATCAAAATACATTATATTGAAATTATCTTCTGAATGAATTGAACTTGATGTAGAGAATTAGTGAATTTTTTTTGCAAATGTAGAGAATTAGTGAATTATTTTAGCTATTTTCATATATTTTTTTCTTTATTTTATTAATAAAGTATATTTTGAATATAATGTTTCATTATTCTATACATTCAAATAATTCAACCAATCAATGTTATCAAACATATTAAATTTTTTATCGGTTCCACCGAATGTATGAGAAAAACTTATATTGATTGACTACCCTGTTATTAGATTGAGCACGTCTATTTATATTAGTACCAAGTCTTCATTGACTAATATTAGTGTAATTCTAAACCAATTATAATACAGCTATCAAGAAAATTCATTAAATATAATATGTATACTACACTAAAAGCACTATTAGCAATATGATACCAGAACTACTATTATATTGTTATTGTTACACATTAAAAACAACAGTAACAATGCTGAGCAGGTGTAATGATAGAGATTATATGGGCCTAGGCTCAAGCCCACATACTCATGAATATGAAGCGGCCCAAAAAGAAACTAGACTTTTCCTTCGTTTGGGTTCCTTGAGCAGACGGAGCACCACTTTTACCGCATAAGTACAAGAATATGTTGCACCTACACCACGGTTAGTTTAGGCCTCTCAGCCTATGACACCTCATCTACAACTAGGGTCTCAGACTCTCAGTTAACAAAGCAAAGCAACAAAAGCAAGGACGAGGGCCCTCAACCCCTCGTCCTAGGTCATCTTAGCCACTACTCAATATATTGTGATCAGACACCACACATCACATTCTGTCACATAGCAGGGCTTCGTTCATAAACTAGCTACACATGTACATATATTTAATGCATCTAACATTTATTACTAGTGTAAAAAAAGACTCTTGGGGCCAAGGCTGGTCTTAAGAAATTGGGGCCCTGTGAAAAAAGGCCTTCCTTGCTAGCTAATACAATTAGATATGTACTCCTTCTGTCCCATTTTGTTTAGTCAAAATTGATTTTACAATTCAATGATGTTAAACCATTAAATATTTTGTTGATGCTTATTCCTTCAACCTTCAGGCCCAACACGTAAGCCCAAAGATTTCGAGTGGAGTGTGTATGAGTAAGCTAGCCCAACAGACAGATGATAAGGATCAAGAAACAAATAAGTAGCAAGTAAGTGATTAGGTATTATTATCTCTTAATAACTCCCTAATACAATACTTTTTGCTAAGGCTCCGACGGCCGTTCGTCTTACAGGGCAGTAGAAGTGCTGCGAGTAAGAATACTATAGCTAGAGTGCTAAGAATAGAAAGTTGCCAACCCTTTACAATGGAATAAATGCTTCTATTTATACCCGCCAATGGGCAGGTAGCTATGCTGACGTGGAAGCCTGTGGACCGCTTGTGTCCCAACCACCAAATCTTTAGCATTAAATGCACTTCCCGCCAGAATCTAGGTTTCCCGCCGGATTAGTGGGGACGTTCGTCCACCGGGAAGTGAGTTGGATTGCTCCAAGGGACCCTTGGGAGATATCGGCTGTTCGTCTCCTGGCCTTGATGGATACTCACCATGTGGACTGGGTTTCCCCCGATGACTACAGGCTTGCTCTGGGGACGTTCGTCGCCATCCCTGGTGGCCCGTGGTTCTGCTCCTTGTCCCTGCATAGACGTCCGTCGGGATGAGCCGCTGGGCCTGAGTCCCTCAATATCAGACGTTCGTCCATCCTCAGGGAACACGGGCCTGTGGGCTGGCCTAGTGCTCTAACTGGACGTTCGTCTGGCAAAATGGGTTAGTGGGCCGGATCTCGGCTTGGGCCATTTACCCAACACAAGTCCCCCACTTCTGATGTTCTGAGCATGCGCAGGACATAAGGAAGTATGAACCTCCCCGGAGTAGACGTCCGTATCTTGGTACTTGTGTTTATTGCATCTGGTGGAAACGTACGCTCGTGGTCATGGTGCTTGACAGCTGTTGACGGTTCAGGAAACGAGGTGACGGCTGATGTTGCGGCGGTGCCCTTTCCCGAGGAATTGTCATCATTACGTTCCCGTCCCACGCACAGCGCGTGGGCCGGAATACGCTCCTTGCCACGTGTCCGCTCCTCGTTGGTCCCCCCGCCGGTGTCTCTCCTATAAATGCCGGGTTCTCCCTCTAAATTAGGGTTCCCAATTTCTGCTCTCCTGCTCTCGCGTTCCTGCAGCTCTTCAAGCTTTCTCCTGTTTTCAAGCTCGGCTAATCCCCTTTCTAAGGTAATTTCCATCCTCTGCTTCTTTTCCTTGTCTTGAATTCTCGCCGAGATGGTTTCGATGGAGATCTCGTCGAGTTCTGGTTCGGGTTCATCGGGTTCTTCCTCGGGCTCCTCCTCCGATTCCGGTTCACGCTCTTCGGGTGAGACTAGCACTTCCGGGAGTTCTGGCTCAGCCTCTACCGTGGGAACGGTCCGGGCCGGGGAGGCCCAAGATGTGGTTACTGCGGTGGTCCCTGGTGAAGAAGGTGCCGATTTGGGAGAACAAGGGAATATGGCCCTCGATGTAGTGGACCCCGTGGCTGATGCCGGGGAACGGGAGTCCGCCGGTGAGGACGAGCGTCCAGATGGGTATGACTCTGGGGTTGAAGCTCAGGACGGCTCCGATATTGAAATATTCGAACTTGGGCTGAAGATAGATGTGGAGAGGCATCTGTGCCCGATCAAGAATGTCCTGTGCCATGAGCAGATCTTCTCGCAGGTGGCCCTCAACAAACTGAAGGTATTCTTCCCCCCTCCATTCGTATACAGCCTGCGTGGTGCAACCCACGTGATGAGGAGACGTCCAGGGATGGTTATGGTGCTTCTGGACTCCATCGAGGCTGGGCTGCGCTTCCCTCTTCATCCGTTTTTCGTGGAATTCTTCTGTTTTTACCAGATAGCCCCCGCACAACTCATGCCGAATTCCTATCAGTTCGTCTCCGCCTTCCTAGTCCGCTGCAAGGACAATGGGGTCACCGCCACTCTGGACTTGTTCCATTACTTCTACCGGCTCACCCCCCAGAATTCTGACGGCTTCCTGAGCATTGCTGCTCGTCCGAAACGGAGGTTGTTCAGCGGAGCACCGAGCTCCATCCACGACTGGAAGAATCGGTTCTTCTTTGTGCGGTACGCGGATGCTCGTCTGCCATTGCGTTGGAACGGCTACCCGCCCAAAATAGGATCTCCGGAGCTGACCAACGACCTGGAGGAGGACATTAGAAAGATCTCGACGGGCGGCATCCGGCCCTTAGATGACTTCTTAACCTTCGAGGCGCTCGCCGCGGCAGGAATAGGTACCGCCCATGCTCTTGGACATCTCCCCTTCTACGCTCGTCTCGGGGTATTGGGCGGTCCTCTCCTCCGAGGTGAGTTCTTACTGACGTTCGTCCATCTAACCCATTTCCTTTGTCTCTTTCAGGTCTTCCCCCAACCCAGGAGCAGATGAATCACGAAAAACTCCTCAAGAATCGGAAGGGGAAGGGCGCCGCGGCCGACGCTGCCCTTGCCAAGGCCAAAACCGTCCAGGCAGCTGACTCCAACTCTTCCGCCTCCCAGGCCGATCGTCGCACCGTGGAGGCGGAGCAGCACCTCATTGCCACGGTGTTGGCACAAGGGTCCCAGGCCCCAGTCCTTGATTCTGGCGTCCCCGAGGTTGTGGCGCCTCTGCAGGCCGTCCATCCCCAGGAGGGGGAGAAAGCGGACAAAAAGTCCATAAGGCCCAGGGGAACTGGTTCTTCGGCCCTTGAAGGGCAAGGGGTGATCCTCCCCTCTCTCGGACGTCCGGCGCATGACGTTTGGCAGGAGGTTGCCTCTCTGGCCGGCGTGGAGATGCCTCCCCGCACGTCTTCGGAAGCCTCCAATGCGGCCCTGGCCGCCGCTCTTCAGGTAAGATCTCGCTCCGCGCGTGTTGCCTGATCACTTTTATTCTAATGTTTTGAAGTCTCACCTCCCGCATCCGATTTGTAGGTCGGGCTCTCCGTTCTGCAGTCTGAGGCTGCCCGAGATGCCGAGGTCCTCCAGGCGAAGACCAAGGCAGATGCTGCTCTGAAGAAGGCGAGAGAGGCCGCTCGTCTTCAGGAAAAGGAGCTTGCGGCCAAGGATAAAGAATTGCAGGCCGCCCTGAAGGTAGCCCGTGAGTCCTCCGCGAAGCTCGCGGTCCTCGAGAAGGCCGGGTTCAAGCTCGTCCCAGCTCTCCCCGCTCCCAAGGACGAGGCCCCCGAGTGGCTCGTCGACGACACCGGGTACCACAATTCTGGGGCATTCATGATCGCCGCCCAGAGGTATCTCGGCGGCGCCTTCGGCGATGTATTCGCCGCCGAGCTGCAGAAGCAGGCGCCGAAGGATCGGCTCAAGTTTGGGGTCCGGATTCTGGAAAGCGCGCCCCTGGCCGAGAAGTTCCTATATGATGTTGGGGATAGCTCCTTCGTCATTGGCTTCAACGAGGGGGTGAGGGCCACATTGCCGGTCTTTGCCGCTCTTCAGGGCCCCCGATTTGATCTGGCCGAGCATACGTCAGATCCAGAGCTGATCCGGGCCGTGGGCAAGCTGAAACGGGACGCCCGGCGGGAGGAGGCCAGAGCCAGGGGGGAGGTCCCAGAGCCCCCGACCCCCGAGCCCGAGCCCGAGGAGGAAGAAGAAACCATCCCTGGGGGATCCCGGCCCATTTCTCCAAATTTTGTATAATGTAGCTCGTAGTTTGTTTGTTTTGATCCTGTGCTTATCCGGCCAGTAGAGCCGAAGAATATACAACTCTTTTTTGCCTTATCATTGTCTCTACGCTCATGAACTCTTTTTATCTTCTTTCTTCGTTGGTAGTTTTTCGTTTTTTCTCGGGGACGTTCATGTCCATAACTCGCCCTCGCGTCCCAAACCTTCGGGATACGAACGCATGCCTGAGAGCACCCCACATATGTTCCATCCCCAAATCCGTTCGTCGGAAGGAAGACGTGCGGGGATGCGGCGGTGTTCTTTCGAATCAGTTGGTGAAGACGCCCGTCTCTTGGCTATTTGCGTAACCATTCGTGGGGTCGTTCACGTCCATCGGGATATGAGCGTATGCTAGGGAGCACCACATATGTAACCACTCCCCAAGACGTACGGGTTGCGGCCGTAACCTCCCGGACCAGCGTTGGTGAAGACGTTCATCGAATGTGCTTCCCCGAATCATGCCTTGATGGAGGGGATCGCCGCTTCCGGAATAGCGTACCCTTTGGCGCCTGTGCTTAAGCCAGGTATCCGTCTCGGATGTGCATCTGATGTGAACATGGGACCTACGAGCATATACGCACGTCTTCCTGTGAATTTGGCCTGCAGGTACGCTCTCTGCTTACCCCTTCGGGGGACGTTCGTGGCATCAAGCCAGACTCCTTCGCAGTGACTGTGGGCGGTAACATCGAGGAGCCTTTAATACCGCGGTAGGTACCGGTATCCGGATGCCACGTGCTCCACCGTGATTGGCGCAACCTCGCGGTGCTGCCTATAAGTACCCAAGGCCTTGTGAGTTCCCCATTTGCTTCATCCCTAGCTCTTGTGCTGCACGATTACTTCCTCTCTCTAGCTTTCTTTGATACCGCTTCCAGCGCCAGCACCCGTAGGTACCGAACGTCGTCATGTCTTTGTCCATATCAGGGTCCCATGTTATTGATAGGTTCGACGATGGGTGCTCCTCCGGTGATGACCTGGAGTTCTATGAGCGGGGTATGCCACCATGGCCCCCCCGTCATCACCTGAATTTCTCTTGCGTTCGTCGTCAGCGCCAGCGTCTCTTGAACGCCGATCGTCGGTTGATAAGCCAATGGTTCCTTCCCCCAAGGGGTTATGACGATCGGATTCTGCGCAACCCAATGCGCCATTTGCCCGGCTACGTGGTGGTCCACTTGGACTCTGTCATAGCCGGCCTCCTGTTTCCCCTCCACAGCTTCCACATAGAGCTTTTTAGGGGCCTCCGGGTGACACCCGCTCAGTTCGTCCCCGCTGCTTATAGGATCATCGCGGGTTTTATAATCAGATGTCACAGCGTTGACGTGACCCCCACCGTGGACCTGCTGCAACATTTCTTCCGGCTATCTCCTTTCGGACGTACGGGGTATTTAACCCTGATCGCGCGTCCGTCCATGGTCCTATTTTCTAACAACGCCGGGAATCCGGACGGCTGGGAGGAGCGGTTCTTCCTTGCCGACGTGGGCTCCCCGATGCCATTCTCCGATAGGTGGAACGCCTACCCGGTGAAGTCCATCCCGCCGCCCATGACGGATGAGGAGCTCGGCTATGCCAAGCGCATAGCTGGTCTTGGCGTTCAGAACCTCCGGTCGCTGGTGGCCGAGCCTTTCAAGGCCCGGGCCGGGCTAGGTGCGTCTATTTGTACTTGCATTGTCCTGTCATCTTCTAGTTGTTACGATTCTGAACGTCTTGATTTTCTTCCTGCAGGAGTATTCCCAACTATATCATCCATGGGGCGCAATCATATTACTTCGCATGCCCATGGCCGCGACAACAGGCATGAGGACAAGGGCAGGAAGCCGCTCGTTCCCAAAATTGAGCCTCGGACGGGCAGGAGGCGATCAGATGACGCACCAGAGGACGGGGCTTCGAAGAGGCTCCGCATTGATGGTACCGCCTCCAAAGCCATCATAGTGGCTGATGACTCCGACGGTGAGCCGGGGAGTCCCCTGAAGCGGAGGCCCTCCCGGAACAGGCCCCCTGTTTCCCCTCCGGCCAATTCTGAGGTCCGTCGACTTAGGGATGAAGATGTCCCTGCTTCCAAGGGTTCTGACGATGCTCGTCCCCCTTCGCCCCCAGAAACCAACGGGTCCTCCCTTGGCCTTATCGAATTCTCGGGGGTTGGCCCTCGTAAGGAGTCGATGATGCTCTTCGGCCAGACCGCATCCTCAATCTGGTGTGGCCTTAACCTCAAGGTCCCCCAGGATTTCGCCGCCCAGGAAGCTCCTGAAGATCTCCTGGAGTGTGGGCAAAGCACTCTTGACAAGGCCGGGTTATATTTCCACCGGGCTCGGATGGCCTTTGAGAATCAAGGCAGGGAAATGGCCCGGGTGCGGGCTGAATGCGACGCCCTTCTGAAGAATGCCAAGGGCAGGGCTGGGACGCTCCAAGAGAAGGCTGACGCCTATGATAAGCTCGTCCAGGAGAGCGCTTCTCAGAAGGAACTTCTTCGGAAGCAGGAGGCCGAGCTTGTAGATCTTCGCAGCCGGCTGTGGGCTGTGGAACAGGCTAAGGTGGGGATCCGCCGTACGGGTGTGGATAATCATGTCCCCATCTATGAAGCCGATGTTTCGAAGATCAAGGAGTCTGGTTCCATCGAGTTCCAGAAGTCCAAAGCCTACACCGGTGCCATCCAGACCATGGCCAGGAAGTTCCTTCCGAGGTTCGTCGGCGAGTTCTTGGCCACCTGCCCGGACCCTTATCTAGATGGTATCAAGCTGCTTCAGGCCACCCCCACTGGGGAGCGCTTCCTTGATGATCTCGCCGACGATACTTATCTCAAGGGTATGGTCGGCCTTGTGGCAGAGAACCTTCCTGTCTTTGAGCGTCACTTTGGGGCTCCTTTTGATCCTGCGGCAGCTGGCTTCGATTCCCTGATGGTGGACGCCCATAAAGGGGCCCTCGAACTGCTGAGGGAGCGTAAGGAGCGCGAAGAAGCTGAGGCCAGGGAAAAAACCAAGCAGGTCCCCTTTACGGCCCCAACTCCTGACGCCGGCCAAACTTAATTCTCCGCTCATAGTCTGTACCTCACAATTATTTACACTGTAATTTACATCATACATTGTACTTTCCGGTCATCAGTACCGAAGAATAAAAATCATTATTTGCTCCATGTCTCCGTCTCTCTTTCTCTCTCTCTTTTTTTTTTTTTTTTTTTTTTTTTTTTTTTTTTTTTTTTTTTTGGAGTCCTTTCATCAGTTTTTTGTCCTTCTCTAGCTTCGTGGGTACTTGTCTCCTGGTTTCGTAGGAGACGTTCGCCATCCCCCGCCTCGAGAAAGGACAGGTTTATCCACGTCGGGATTCCCTATCTCCGTTCGTCCCCAGCCGCGAACTACTAGTCTTCTGGCTTCGCAGAAGGCTTTCGTCATGCGCTCATCAGGGGGAGGAACCGGGCTTCGTTCGTCCTTGTCGTGGTCCTACTAATCTTCTTTCCTCGAAGAAGACGTTCGGTCATCCAACGATCGCAAGGAGGTCACTGGTTTATCCACGTCGGGATTCCCTGCTTCGTCGCCCCATATCCGTGGCCCTACTAACCTTCTGCTTCGGCAGAAGGTGTTCACCGGCCTACGGGTCATGGGGGAACTGGTTTATCCTGCCGAGGTTCCCTTTGGTACGTCCAGCCCCCCCCACGTTCCTACTGACCTCCGCGTCGGGAGACGTTCGTCACGTGGTGAAGGAAGATCAGGCATACCTCGTCAAGACTCCCTCTCTCCTAGGAGCTTCTTTCTCCCCTTCTCCTCTCTCTTTTTTTTTTTTTTTTTTTTTTTTTTTTTTTTTTTTTTTTTGAGGAGGAAATCATTTCAACAGCACTTCGGCTTTTAATCTCTCTGTAGGAAGTGAAGAACGGAAATAATCCTTTTAATATAGAGATGACGATTGGTGGTGTTACATGGTACTTCGACCAAAATATTACAACGATCTATCTCTAATTATTGGTAGAACTTCTTCAAGTGTTCGACATTCCAAATTCCAGCGTGGTTCCCCTCCAATGTGTGGAGAAGGAACGTCCCCTGGTTGTATCTTCTCATGACCCTGTACGGCCCCTCCCAGTTTTTGGCCATTTTGCCTCCTTCGAGCGGCCTGCTTTTCTCCCTTTTTCTGAGTACGAGGTCCCCTGCTTCAATTTCGCGGATCTTCACCGCCTTGTTGAAGTATCTTTGGGTGGCTCGGTGGTATTCCTCCATGCGACGAGCTGCTAGGTCTCTTCGCTCCTCAATGAAATGGAGCTCCGCCCGTAGGTTTGCCTCGTTGTCTTTCGGTTGGAAGTGTCTCGTGCGATGCGTGGGTACCAGCACCTCTGTTGGTACTTTGGCCTGGAATCCGTACGTCAAAGCAAAAGGTGTCTCGCCGGTTGCCGTCCGTGGGGTTGTTCTGTACGTCCAGAGCACGTAATTGAGCTGCTCCGGCCAGGTGGATGCGTAATCTTCCAATTTCTTTTTAATTCCATCCATGATGGTCCTGTTCATGTTTTCCACCT